CTCTAGTTAATTGCTAAATGAAATGTCATGAAAGTATGATGAGAGTTTGGAAGAAGGAAAGACGAGTGGATTTTGAGTCTGAGGACGTGGATGTTGAGGTTGGGTGGAACCCAGGTGAGCAGAACTGAAATGGTTTTTCCAGGAACAAGACACTAGCCTGGAGAGGGTGAAGACTCAGAAATTCAAACTATTTTGTGGAGCAAAAGCAGAAAATTGAGTGTGTCGCATGTGGAGGGTTTGGGAAAGGAATTTGCTTTAATAAATGAGGTTGGGGCCAGGCGCGGTGGCTCAAGCCTGTAATCCCAGCACTTTGGGAGGCCGAGACGGGCGGATCACGAGGTCAGGAGATGGAGACCATCCTGGCTAACACGGTGAAACCCCGTCTCTACTCAAAAGAATACAAAAAACTAGCCGGGCGAGGTTGCGGGCGCCTGTAGTCCCAGCTACTCGGGAGGCTGAGGCAGGAGAATGGTGTGAACCCGGGAGGTGGAGCTTGCAGTGAGCCCAGATCGAGTCTCCCAGAGCGAGACTCTGTCTCAAAAAAAAAAAAAAAAAAAAAAAAAAAAAATGAGGTTGGGGGGCAGGGATGAGATTTGGGCCTATGCCTAAAAGCTTGGAAATTTAATCCTGGGCAAGAATGGTCATCTTTCTGGGCCTAAGCTTGTCATCCCCACCCATCATCCCAAAACTCTGTTGGTTGTTAGTATGATGACTGGGGGGAAAGGACAGGAGCAAAAGTTGCTGATCCCAGGCTCATCAAGCTGAGGAGAAATTTTGGTGGGAGGAAGCCAGGAAAATGTGACAGCATTTGACAGATGCTCAGCTGGGCTTTCCCCAGGCATTGTGTTCTGGCAGCGTGTTGATTAATTCCGTCCACCTCAACGCAGGAAATCAGCTTGCCTGCTGAGTAAGAGAAGTCTGCACGGAACCCTGGGGTTGCTGCCAGCCTGAGGTTGCAAGGACAGGCCACGCCCATGGAGGCTGCCGCCGACAAAGAACAGCCTCAGTTTCCCATTATTCTCTTCATCCTCACGCTTGCCAAAGAACCTTCCAAAGTAGGAAGATACGTATGGTTCTTAGCTACAAGGGAGTGAAGCTCTGAGATTTAAGACTTCTGTTTTTTTATTTTGTTTTGTTTTGTTTTAAATCTCAATAGCCTTTCAAGGATACTTGAGTCTTAATTTCTGTTTCAGAAAATGTAATGTGTTCCGTGAACCTCGCTACAATTTTATGGGAAGTTCAGCACCTTCCCTAATGTTCCCTAACGAGGTGCATCCGAGACTTTCATGTGATATGAATCATTTAGGCATCTTGTGAAAATGCAGCCTGATTGAGTAGGTGTGGGATTGGGGCAGGAAAATCTCCAATTTTAACAAGCCCCCAGGTGCTAACAAGCTAGATGCTGCTGTTCCCAGGACCAAACTTTGAGCAGTAAGATTCTCCTAGATTGCAGGATTGAGGGGTAAGAAAGAGTCAACTTTCTCATTCCAAATCTTGCTCTATCCATATGTGCTGCCTCCCCTCCTGAAGCTGTTGTCCTCTCTCTCTCTATATATATACACATGTAGATGTCATAAACCTGTTTTGTATATAAAGAGGTTTACCTTAGACATGGAAATAATGAAAGAGACTTAAAGGATTAATTAAAGAATTAAAGCACAACATACACATTGAAACAATTTCAATATAAGGCTCATGACTCTTAGTTCCCTGGTCATCTCAGCTACTAGGAGTTTCTGGGTGGCAGCTCTCCTCATTTCTCTCTAGGGTTAACTAAAATTCCTATTATTATAATTATTTTGAAGACAAGATCTTGCTCTGTCACCCAGACTGGAGAGCAGTGGCAGGATCATGGCTCACTGAAGCCCTGATTGCCTAGGCTGAAGCGATTCTCCGACGTCAGCCCCTCAAGTAGCTGGGACTACAGGAGCATGCCACCATGCCCAGCATTTTTTTTTTTTTTTTTTTTTTGAGACGGAGTTTCGCTCTGTCGCCCAGCCTGGAGTGCAGTGGCACGATCTCGGCTCACTGCAAGCTTCGCCTCCCGGGTTCACGCCATTCTCCAGCCTCAGACTCCTGAGTAGCTGGGACTACCGCCCACCACCACGCCTGGCTAATTTTTTGTATTTTTAGTAGAGATGGGATTTCACCGTGTTAGCCAGGATGGTCTCCATCTCCTGACCTCGTGATCCGCCCGCCTCAGCCTCCCAAAGTGCTGGGATTACAGCTGTAAGCCACCACGCCTGGCAATACCCAGCATTTTTTTTTTTTTTTTTTAAATTTTGTGTAGAGACGGAGGCCTCCCTGTGTTGCCCAGGCTGGTCTTGAACTCCTGGCCTCAAGTGATTCTCTCGCCTCAGCTTCCCAAAGTGCTGGGATGATAGACATGAGCCACCGTGCCTGACCATATTATTTTTTATATGTAGAAATTTCCCTGTCTTTACCCTGGAATAGGCTCTGTCTTTGCACTTCCAAAAAGGTAAGTTCTCTTCAAGACAAAAGTGCCATCTGGTCTGACATAAAATTTGCAGCTCTCTTGGAAGGAGAAAACTGTTATGGCAATTTTTTTTTTTTTTGGTAGCACTTTTTTCTTCCTCTTACCCAGCACAGAGAGTGGTACAGAGTGAGTGTTTAATAAATGATGTTTCTGCTAATAAGTAGATAAAACTTGAATGCAAAAGCCTTCACAGGTCCACAGAATAGATTCAGAATTGAGAGGTCCCTCATGCGATCTGGAACTTTGTCCAGCCACTTAAACTGTATTCCGCCCAGGATCCTCACACAGCACTCTGGGGAAACTCCTTTCCTAAGTCTTTTTTTCTCCTTAATTTTCTTTTCTTTTCTCAACTTTTGCCTCTGATCCCCTTCTCTCACTGCCGTCTCTCCCAGCTCTTTTTTCATCAGAAGATCAGAAATTGCATGCTTTGAGAAAGAGAGAGAGAGAACGAATGAGAGAAACCTACAGAGACAGAAGGGAAAGGAGGACTTCTTTTTTTTAATCTTTTGTTTACCTAAGCCCCAAGTAATTTCTACTCTCACAAATATTGGCATATGAAGACCCTAGTACAGTGTTTTCATCTGACAAATAATCATTACGTTTCTTTTTTTTTTTTGAGATAGGATCTTGCTCTGTTGCCCAGGCTGGAGTGCAGTGGCATGATCACGGCTCACTAGAGCCTTGATCTAGCTAAAGTGATCCCCTCATCTCAACCTCATGACTAGTTGGGACTACAGGTGTGTACCACCATGCCTGGCTAATTTTTGTATTTTTTTGTAGAAACGAAGTCTCACCATGTTGCCCAGGCTGGTCTCCAACTCCTGAGGTCAAGCTATCTACCCACCTTGGCCTTCCAAAGTGCTAGGATTACGGGTGTCAGCCACGATACTCATACCTAATCATTATCTTTAAAAAGAAGGGTTAGTTTCTATGAATTGTGATTTTGTGGAGATTCTAGAAAGTGCATAATGGTTTTGAATATTTGACTCAAACAAATAGGAAACATTGAATGAGTAGGTTCAAAAAAGTCCGAAACTGAAAATCTTTTGCATTAAAAGGAAAAAAAAAAAAACAAAAAACAAAAAACCCAAGGATGATGTAGAGTTTGTGGAGTCTGTAGTTTTCTGCTTTTTGGGAGAGGCTCACTTCCCTTTTACTCTGTGGTCCCTGGCTCCACTTCTTGGAAGGTTTAAAAAAATGTCTTTTTTCTCCTTGTAACCTCTTTGGTCACATCTGACATGGTGTTGGTGAATATACCTTTCTTAGAGCTTTAGTTCTTGTTCCTTGATGGTTGGGGGACTGAGGATTGGTTCCTGATTAATTTCTAGAACTCTCTCAAAAACTTAGTGAACTTTTAATCTGAGTCAATTCTTTTTGAGGCATAATTCCTAGAACATTTCTATTTCTTTGTTTCTTTATTCCTATAACTCTCTTTTGATTTGATGGCAGATTACTAGAACTATAACACTTTTAATTGAGTCCTTTTATCCAATTAAAATTTTTTTCCAGATGCTTCATTCTAATTCTTGCCCTTCGGTAATTTACTTGGTTGAAAGGTTTTATTGTGCATTTCTCTTTCAAAGGCTTTTTCAATCTTATCTTTTACTCTTGAGGGATAGAAATAGTTATTTTTATTTTTAAATTTTTTTGCAGCCTTACAGGGCTCTGAATTTCTTTCTTTCTTTTCTTTTCTTTTCTTTTTTTTTTGAGACAGGGTCTTGCTGTGTCGCCTAGGCTAGAATGCAGTGCTGTGATCTCGGCTCACTGCAACCTTTGTCTCCAGGCCAAAGTGATTCTCCTGCTTCAGCCTCCATAGTAGCTGGGGTTACAGGTACCCACTGCCACGCCTGGCTAATTAGGGTTCTGAATTTCAGGACTCTCTTCATTTCCTTTCATTTTTGTTTATCAACCTGCCAACTCTTTCCTGAACTCATCTCTTTCATGTGTTACCTTGCCAAATGCAGACAATAATATCCAAACACATGCAACTAACATTCTATTTTCTAATCTCTTTTTCTAGAGCTTCAAGTTTATTAGGTACAAGATCTGCCTCTCAAGTTATTGCAGGCAATGGTTTAACTAAATGTTTTGTCATTGTAGAGCATGGATTATCATTTATCCAGCCTGCAATTTTATTGCCATTATGATGTGCTACCTGACCACTTTTTTTCATGCTTTTTGTTATGACAGCACTTTACTTCAAGGCATGAATTTCTGTAACTGCAGACATACTGTCATGTTGCAGTAGCATATCTTGATTAGATGCACTTTTTTTTCTTCTTTCTTTTTGAGAGAGAGTCTCACTCTGTAACCCAGGCTGGAGTGCAGTGGCACAATCTCTTCTCACTGCAGCCTCAACCTCCCGAGTAGCTGGGCTCAAGTGATCCTCTGAACCGAGCCTCCAAGTAGCTGGGACTATAGGTGTGTACCACTACACCTGGCCTCAAGTGATCTGCCCACCTTGGCCTCCCAAAGTGTTGGGATTATAGGCGTGAGCCACCACACTTGGCTAGATACACCTTTTTAAAATGAGAATAAAACCTTTTAAAAGTTGGATTTGTAAAACCAAATGTGTACATTTATATTATCATTATTCCCAGCTATCTCATGTTATTATCTGATTGGTTATATGTGCATGTTCACTTTTTTCCATGACTATTTTAAGCCCATTAAGGCAGAGACTTTAATAGTATAGTCTATTACCTGTGATAGTAGCTCCAACAAAATGTATCATGGCTCCAAGCACACATAAGGGCATGAAAACATCTTGCTGATTTGGATGTTTGACAAACTATAATATGTTACTACATTTGAGGCTGTGTGTAACTTATGGCTAAGGCAACAGAGTCTTCTGGTGTCTTTTTTTGTGGGCTCTTGGAGTTGACTGTAGTAGTCTAGCTGTCAGTGTGTTGAATAATGGCTCCAATGCACTTTTGAAACTCTTAAATCTGGTGACAGCTTAGATCATGAGTGGTACAGAGCCAGTCAGTGAAGGGTTCCACCATTGTCAGCTGTGCCCATCATATGTTCGTTATCGTGTCCCTGGTATTAGCACACGATTTGTGTTATAGGAAGTGCTCAATGAATGTTTGATGAGATAAGGATCTGAATCTGTTGATTCAGTTTGAACTCAGTGATAGCCAGTTACTAGTTTGGCATCCTGACAGGACAGTTGTTTTTACCCCAAAGGGGAAAACTGTGACCAAATTTAGCAAAGGTCAGTGTTGCCTCCTGCTTATGTAAAGAACCATTTTGTTCTCCCCTGCAATCTAGCAAATCCTCTTGTATTGAATTAGGCACTCTTGGTTCCAACTGATTTATTCATTCTTTATTTCAAGAGAGCTGGCATATTCTATGCATTGAGGTATGGCTCTGAATGGAAAAGAGATCACTGAAGAAGATGAGTGACTCAATCCACTCAATTTAGTACACATTTAAAGGTCTATTGCACATGTTGCTTTGGGAGCATAAGGGATACAAGCAAAGATGAAAACATGGCTCTTGATTTCATGGAGCTAGCTTCACTGTGCACATGGAAGGTCACTCCCGGGGAGGCCTTGAAAATTCTCCATAAGGTGGGCTTAGGCGGTTCAGTCTGGTTAGAAGGAGTTGGCTAGGGGACTTGAGTCTATCTTTGCATAGAACACAGTTTAATCTAGATTGTATATTTAAGGATGTATATTTGGAGAAGGAGGCTGGTAGAGATTATTGGGGGGCAGGGTAAAGTTACCCAGATATATGAAGACCCCAGGGAACTATCCTAAAACATGTATGTGAGGGCAGGATACACCAAGTATTGGCACAAGAGGTTGAAGAAAGGAACAATGCCTGAAAGGGTGATTTGAAGAAATCTTTTTGTAGAAGTTACACTTCTGGTTGTTCCAGAGAGAGGTGCAGAGGGATGCACAGGCATGGAGGGGAGCAGGGTGGATGGAAGGCCTGTGATCACAGAATTCTGATCAGTTTTGGAGGGCCTGCCAATGAACCTAAGAACAACTCTTCATTTTCTTCAGGCGAAGAGTTGTTCAAACATGTTACGCTGGAGGAAAATAACTTTGCCCTGCTAGAATGTGTCCTGCCTTGTGAAAAGATTATGTGTAATTTTACCCGATCTTAATGGATGTAAAAAAAGATAAGTTACTGTTTTTTGGGGAATGTTTGTGTATCTCTAGGGCACAATGCCTGACATATAGAATGTATTTAACAAATGTTTGACAACCTGAACTGATCTGAGACAAATTAACTTTTTGCAGGTCATTTAAATTTCATGTCAGAGCATTTAAAGCATTTTTTCTTCAAAAATTAGAAACAACATTTATTGTTTCTTGTTAAAATATGGCGCTCTCATGAGAAAAGAGTGTGCAAAAAGAGCCTTCCTTCACCCTTATCCCAGCAGGCTGGGACTGTCCTCACTGTGTAGGAGGGAAAGTTTTTCACCTACTCTTGGGAAATTAGGCTGCTCTACTGTAGTTTTACTTTTGATTACTTGCATATGTAAAAAAAACAAAAAACAAAAACAAAAGGCAAAATCCAACAGCTAATAGGTTATCTCTCCCTAGGCATATAAGCCCAGTCCACCTGGACACAGATGTGGGGCTTAAGTCCAAATTCCCATGTGCAGCCCAGGATTAGGTGGTACTTTGGAAATCAAGTGGGTGTTCCTGGCTAGGGATTGAAGGCGATCTCAGCCCCTGGTCAGCTGGTTGAAAACATCCAAAGTGCCTCCAGTGAGAAGCTGAGATTACCTCTTTAATGAGAAACACTTTGGGTGAGGTAGGGCCCACCGTCAACTGGTAGGCAGCATTCTTGCCACAGGTTGTATCTGGTCTAGAAACTACTAGATCTCCAAATCCTCTTGAAGTCCCTTACATTGACAAGAATGAATTCAAGTTTCAAAATGACACACCAAGTTATACAAGGTAGAGGATGTCATTAAGGCAATAGTCTTACCAAGTCCATGCACAGAGCTCTAATCCCACCATCACCCTCCCCTCACTCTCCAAGTCTGCTTAGTTCTACCCACTACTCTTCCTTCTCAGTGACAGTTCCAGCATCCAGAAGTCTTGAGCAGCCTTCAGCCTCACAAGTTGGGGGTGGCCTAATTCAGAAACTTCATGGCAACTTCAAGGCCAAGGAAACAGGCCACATTGGCTGGGAAGGCTTGGGTCATCACTGCATCAGACCCTTTAGATAAGGATGTGATTCCTTCATCCCAGATGAGCTCCCTCAGCACATCTCCAAAACCATTAGGATATTTCCCAGGAGGTACAGTCTGGAAGTGAGACTTGAGCACATCTCGGGGGATTGCCACAGCCCAGTTGAAGATCCCTTCCTGGCAATGCCCCCAGCCGCCAGGATTCAAGGCGCACTGAGCTCACGGACCCTCTTTCCTTCAGGAGTGAAGATATTTTTTAGCCATTTATATGTTATGAATTACATTCCACTAGCTGGAACATCTCACATAAGGGTAAGCACGGTCCCTTTGTAGATGCCTCGGATCCCAAACTCCTGGTACAGCTTCTTTGCACAGTCCAAGGTTCCAATGTACTTGGTTTCCCCTGAAGAAGCCTGAAACTGTAACCAGCACTTGATGGGTGCTCCAGGGGTCACGATGCCTGTGGTGAATGTACCAGATAACATACCAGCTGCAAACAGCTGGGGATAGCTGAGCACATCCTCTGGGTGTTTCTGTCGTAGTTTCTTCCTTTAACCAAACCCAAAGAAGTACACAGCAAACATGGGGGTGACACCGATGATAGGAGCAGCCATTCACTGATATAGCCCCGTGATGCCCCTTCTAAGAGTCTTCGGGAGACAGTCCAAGGTCCCAGAGTACATGGGAGGCTGTCTAGGCAAACTCGGTAGCTGTGTCTGCAGTCGGACCTTGACGGTGTCCAGAGGGTGCCCCATGAACAGCAGGCACATGCCACCAAAGCCGCTGGCCAGCAGGTTCTTGAGCGGGCTGATGGGCTTCGGCTGATCAGCCATGGTCAGTCCGCCTATCTCTGAGTCTGTCAGTTCCTGCGTCCTGGCTCTGCTGCCCCAGCTGCAGCGCCAGGGCCGCCAATCTTGCATTTAAAGGCTTCTGCTTGCTAATTCATTTTGGTTAAAAAAAAAATCATTCTCAGAGATAGCCAAGGTAATGGGCATTTATGTGTTGTATAAATGTGATATTATATATATGTATATATTTGTCCATGGCTTCTGGTTCATAACTCCCACAGCCCTCATTATATCCCAAGTGATAAAAATGATAAGCATATCTTTTGTTGGGGTATTTAGCTTTTTTGTCTTTGGTTACTGAAGCAGCTTCAGACAGCTTCAGAGCAATAAAGGTGAAAAAGACAGTCTTTTATTGTAATGTTGGAGCACTTTAGGCCTAAGAAATAGGTCTCAGAAAAAAGAATCTCCCTCTCTGAACTTCTGCCCACCTTGTCTCCCCAAGACAATAGAAACGGAAAATATCCTCTTATCTAACATCACTCCCACACCTTTTGTCTTGGGGCTGGTCATAAAGAAATTCTTTGACTTACGTTGTCTAATCATAGGCCATAAGACCCTCAATTCAGGAAGGGTCCTCCCCTCTACCCAGGAGGAAGGAATGCTGTTCAGAGAGGCCAACAAGAATCTGAACAGACAGGCCTGGCTGGGTTTCCTCATTCAACCTATTAATATCAGGTTATACCCTTTTTATCCAATCACATTTGTTTACAGTTTTCCATGTTGTAATCATGTCTGCCCAATGAAGATTCCATAAAAGGCCCAAGAGGATGGGATACAAACAGCCTTTGGACCGTTGAACTTGTGGAGGCTCTAAGAAAGGTGAACAGTAGCTCATCCCTGTGCTGGGAGGGTAGTGCACCCCAGCTCCATGGGAAGGAACACTTCCGTGCTTGTGACCCTTTCAAACCTTGTTCTATGTACCTTTTCATCTGGCTGTTGACTTGTATCCTTAAAAATATCCTTTGGAATATACTGGTAAATATAAAGTAGTGTTCCCTAAGTTTTGTGAGCTGTTCTAACAAATTAATCAAACCTAATCAAACTCAAGGGGTTTGTGGAACCTCAACTTGAGGCCAGTCGGTCAGAAGTCCCAGAGCTTTGGACCTGTGACTGGTGCTTAAAGTGGGAGCAGTTTTGTGGGCACCCCTGGGATCTGACTCTGCCTACCTGGAGATAACGTCAGAATTGAATTGGATTAGAAGATGCTTAGCTGGCGTTGGATGCAGAATTGATTGCTTGCTGGTTGATGGAGATAAATCCCCACATATATGGTCATGGAAGTCTTTTGCATTGCTGGTAGTGGTGTGAGAGCAGAGGAAAACAGTTTGTTTTTTCAACACAATGAATAATGATTATTTATTAAGCACCAGTAGGAGTCTAACCATGGGGTTAAAAAATAATTAGTTCAGGGAGATAACAAAACTACTAGGGTATATCATTTCTGAATCTTTCACTGATGTCATTTCATTTCTTTAGTTTTGTTTTCCCGTTCATAAAATGGAGGTAAAGATAGTTTAGTACCAAGGCTCCTCTAAGGATGAGTTTTCTCCCATTTAAATCACGATTCATATTGCATGATTAGAAAGTAGAACATATGGTCCGTGACAAGGGTGTTGGCAATTTGTGGGAGAACAAAAAAGATTTGACAACAATTTTTAACTTGGTTCATCTCCGTAGTAAATTAAAAATGTTGCTCTGATTTGTGGGCACTGGGGGTGGAAGTAGGGTAGAAGGAAAGAAAAATTTGGTCCTTTTCCTGTCATCCCTTTCTTTAGGGTCCCCTTTTGTTCCCCTTCGGGAAATGGAATTAAAAAAAAAACCCCTGCATTCGTCAGTAACTCTGGGTCAACCACAACTTAAAGACAGTAAGCAGGTCAATCAAAACGGGGCAATGATTGCTATATAACTAACAGGTACTCTCATTGATAGAACACAGGCATACACAGGAAGATACATTCACAGAAAGAGCTTCCTGCACAAAGCAAGCAACCAGTGCAACATGACAGTGAAGACCCTGCATGGCCCAGTCATGGTGAGTAGCAACAATCATTCTGGTTTAAGGACAGTCATGCCTAGGATTTCAGGAAAACAGAATTCTAAGGAGTTAGGTTTGATTGGGGTCTTTTTGGAATTACTTCTTTAAAAAACAGAGATGACTTTAATTTTGACTCCTGTCTGGTGGCAAAAAAGAAAAAAATAACTAGAAAAGTTATAATGGCATAAAAATGCAGCTCCTGGCCAGGTGCGGTGGCTCACGCCTATAATCCCAGCACTTTAGGAGGCCAAGGCAGGTGGATCACATGAGTTCAGAAGTTTGAGACCAGCCTGGCCAACATGGCAAAACCGGATCCCTACTAAAAATACAAAAATTAGGTCAGGCCCAGTGGCTCATGCCTGTAATCCCAGCACTTTGGGAGGCCGAGGTGGGCGGATCACTTGAGGTCAGGGGTTCGAGACCAGCCTGACTAACTTGAAACCCTGTCTCTACTAAAAATACAAAAATTAGCTGGACGTGGGGCAGTTGCCTATAATCCCAGCTACTCGGGAGGCTGAGGCAGGAGAATGGCTTGAACCTGGGAGGTGGAGGTTGCAGTGAGCCAAGATCACACCACTGCACTCCGGCCTGGGTGACATAGCGAGACTCTGTCTCAAAGAAAAAAAAAAATGCAGCTCCTCACCCAATGGCTTTTGCCCAGGTGCTGTTAGTATGTGCAGTCCTTGGCATCACAGACAACTAGCAGGTTCTCTCCTGTGGCCATCCATTATAGAGTTAGGTTGGCCTGAAATTCTTATCTCATGGTGGGAGCTTGGCCAGCCCTTTAGGGATTATGTAGATATACATTTTAACCAAGGAAACTGAGGCCTCAAAAGGTTTAATGATTCCCGTGAGACCGCAGGAGTGCCCTGGGTAGAAGAAGTGAAATCACCCAGTGTTGACTTTGGACAGCTCCTCGAGAAGGGAAATTTCCCATGTCTCTGATTGCTATTTATTTATTTTGCACCATCTCATTCTTCTTGGAGGAAAGAGAGATGTCAATGCAATGAAAATCTAGCCCCAGCAGGTCTGGAATCTTGCCTGGCATTAGATAAGGCCTGGGAAGAATTTACTACAGAGGCACATGAAAACAGAGGTTAGGAAATCCTGCATTTTATTATTGGCTTAGGTAATTTCCTTGTTTTCTCCTTTTACAAGCCATATAATTTAAAAGAGCTTGAATATCACAAAAGGTTCATGGCATATAGCAATGGTATGTTTTAATTTATTTTATATTTATGTGTTATTTTAAAGATTACATGTAGCGCAGCAAAGTGCCATATTTAGGGGCATAGGCTCTGATGTCAGGCATATGTGGCTCCACTGCTTGCTAACTGTAGGATTTTTGGGTAAGTTATTTATCTTCTCTGTGCCTCAGTTTCCTCAACTGTACAGTGGAGATAACAATGGCATCTTTCTCATGGCATTTATTGGGAGGATTAATTAACATCTTTGAGAATAAATGAGTCTGTACTCTGTATTGGCAGATTTGTGTATGCTTAAGTTTCAGTTAATTTGGCCATCCTAATAAACAACAACTGGTAATGATAGAGAAAGCATTCAGTAAGTATTAACTGTTCATATTAATATTGTTATTATTATCCTGGAAATTCTGATCAATCCTCTGAAGTACATGGGGATACTTCCCACTTTATACAGATGAACAAAAGCTCAATTAAGCTATTTATTTAACTTTTCTGGATACTGTAAGCACAATAACTGGTACACCAATCTAAGCTTTCTGGCTCCAAGTACACTATGCTTCTCTTTGAATGGTTCGGAGGCAAGATTTCTGAATTTAAAGCCATTGCATCCAAGCAATTCTGTTGGGTAGCTTTGTGCTCCATAGCTATTTCTATTTCTAGTTTCCTTAAAGAAATCTGTTGGGTTGTCAGGAGGAAACATAACAATGCAAGGAGCATTGGAATAGAATTAGAAGTTGAGAGGTGCAGGCAGATAGGACATCCTCAATAAGTAGTTGAGGCAAATTCTCATGGACCTAGCGGTTGACCAGGTGCATGCTTACAGGAGAACACACATTGCTGGTGAGTATAGGGGGTGAATGTTCAGATTGCTCAGGTGGGCTCACATTAGAGTGAAGTGCAAAGCTAGGCTGAGAAGGTTGGTGTCCTGTTATAGCTCACCTTCACCTGGTGCTTTCCCTTGCCTCTGTCCCCTGTTCTATAGATTGAGAGCAATATCTATTCATCTGCTTTCTAGGTGGCATATAAGAGTTCAAGTCCATACAATGCTCTGAATTTCTCTGAGAGGTACTGTTTAAATCATTCTTAAGAACCAGCGACAGCCTGGTTCAGAGCCCCTGCTCTGTATTACATAACCACTAACATCTACAGTTTCAGATCAAAAGCTTTGTGGAGCAAATTGGAGTAATTTGCAGACATCATCTGATTTCCTGATAAAGAGCTATGTGACCTACAACACGTATGCACATCTAGTTCAGCTGTCACATCGCTTAAAATGCTTGGCTCTTCTAATGAGACAAAACTAAGATTAATGTTGGTAATAATAAAAATAACCTTCAATGGCAATAGCACTGACTACTGACACCTTGGTTTGAGTCCTGAGACTGGTACTCATATGCTGGTGAACCCAACCAAGTTATTTATTCCCTTTGGGACAGAACTCTTTCACCTGTCTAATTGGGATAATTAATACTAGCTCTGTCTACCTCACCAGGTAGTTGTGAAAATCCAGTAAAAGCGTTTTCTTAAATACTCTATATTAGCAAATATAATAACTTGTTAGAAACATGGTAATTATTGCTAAATCATAGAACTTCAATGTATGTATTTAAAAGCTTTCATAATGAAAATTAATAGTGATTCAGTGAGTATGACACAGAAGAGGAAAGAGAAAACACAAAGGAGGAATTTACTTAAGAACCCTAAAGATGTGATTGATAGGCTTGGGAAGTTATCTAAGACCCTTTAATATAAGCTGACATCTTTAAAAAAAAAAGTCATAGCAGTCCAGGCACGGTGGCTTAGGTCTGTAATCCCAGCACTTTGGGAGGCCGAGGTGGGAAGATCACTTGAGGTCAGGAGTTCAAGACCAGCCTGGCCACATGATGAAACCCTGTCTCTACTGAAAATACAAAAAATTAGCAGGTGTGGTGGTGCACATATGTAATCCCAGCTACTTGGGAGGCTAAGGCAGGAGAATCACTTGAATCTGGGAGGTGGAGGTTGTAGTGAGCCAAGATTGTGCCACTGTATTCCTGACTGGGCAACAGAGTGAGACTCCATCTCACAAAAAAAAAAAAAAAAAAAAGCCATAGCACTTTGTCAAGACAGAAGGTATATGAGCATGAATTCCACATCTATCTAGTCTACTGTGTAGCACAATATAGAGTTAGCAAGTTAGAGTCGCCAGTATTGGATACTTATCATATGCTGCCACTATTCTTCATGATTTGTGTGGATCATCTCATTTAATCTTCACATATATATACATTTTTTTTTTTTTTTTTTTTTGAGGAAACAGAATCATAGTTGCTAGGAGTCCCGGAATTGAGTTACAGACCCTGGACTTCTGACTCTGAAGCCCATGCCCTGAGCTACCGCACTATAAAGTCAAGAACTAGCTGTTGAATGAACGAACGATTGTGGGGGATGAAAGTTGATGCTTGCTGATTATCTAAAGGCAAATTAGCCTCATTCTGACCTTTCTGGGTCAACCTTGCTTTCAACTTCTTTTTAATATCAGCTTCCTCAGTATGGCAAATGGACACTATGACCTTTTTGTTTACTCTTATTGGTTTTTTGTCTCTAGTATCTGCAAAATGTGAAAAGGAGAGCCTTTGAAACCAACATGTCTAATCATCTTCCCTATCTTAACTCATGGAAGGTGTGAGCCTGAACAACGCTAAGCCTAGAGAATAAAAGCAACTTATCTTCAGCTCTTCTTCTTCTTCTTCTTCTTTCTTCTTTCTTCTTTCTTCTTCTTTCTTCTTTCTTCTTTCTTCTTCTTTTTTTTTTCCCAAGAAGGAGTCTCATACTGTTGCCCAGGCTGGAGTGCAGTGGCTCGATTTCTTTTCACTGCAACCTCCGCCTCCTGGGTTCTAACGATTCTCCTGCCTCAGCCTCCCAAGTAGCTGGGATTACAGGTGTGCGCCACCATGCGTGGCTAATTTTTGTATTTTTAGTAGAGACGAGGTTTCACCATGTTGGCCAGGCTGGTCTTGAACTCCTGACTTCAGGTGATCCACCTGCCTTGGCCTCCCAAAGTGCTGGGATTATAGGCGTGAGCCACCGCACCCGGCCTTCAGCTCTTCTTCTGTATTATGTTGAGAGTCTGTGATGGGCCTTGCTCATCCCCAGTAAGGGTCAGTGGCGATGGTGGGTGAGCAAAGCATGGTTGTGACAAAGGGAATCTGGCAAGATTTTTAGCTTTTCTTTTCATTAGGTCTTTGGGGCACTTTCATTCTTTGTACGTTACTATAACACCAGATAAAGTGGCGTTTCAATGTAAGTATAAAAAAAACGCTCCAGAGCTAAAGAGAAATAGTTTCCATATTCTCCGTTGTTGTGCATCATTAGTGCCCCGGTTTCTTTCAATTAGCATGGATAATTGGAACTTTGCTAACGTTGGTTTTGCATAATGTTTTTCTTAATGCAGTCAGCTTAACTATATAGTTCAATTTAACTGTATCGTTTTGTTCATTCATTCACTCACTCACTCTTTCATTCATTCCGAAAGTGTTTATGAACATGTGTAATATGCAGGAACTTACAATCTAATGGGTGTAGATCTGACAGGAACACAAATACTACATTTCCAGACAATTAAAAAATGCTGCTTGAGTGCTAGATGATCAAAGCTTTATAATTTAAGGATAATAAACATACTTCTGATTGAACCATTTTAGAGACTGTTCTTAGAGGAGATCATATCTGAGCTGGGCCTTAATGGAAGGGTAGGATTTTGACAGACAGAGTATTCTAGGCAGTGTATTCTAGGTGGAGGAGTGGCTTGGAGGAAGGATTTTGTGGGAGATTCACGGGATATCAAGTTGGAAGTAAAAACAAGAGCTATCGTTTATTAAGCCTCTATTTTCGTTTTACAGATTTATAGGTGTTTTATATAGAACATGCTATTTAATCTTGTTAGTAGTCTCATAAAATGAGCATTATTATCCACTTGGAAGGAAGAGAAACTAGAGGCTCAGCAAGGAAGCCAGGATAGGATTTTAACCGAATCTCAGACCCTGGCATCTTTCTGTCTCACTGTTTAGAAGCTCTTAGACTCTGGAGGGCTTCACTTACTAGCTAGGCTAATGAGTTTAGTTCTCAGTTTGGCACCTTGATACCTTTAGGTATGAGTGTTCCCATTTCCAGGTGAGGAACTGAGGTGCAAAGAGAAGCCCTGATCCCATAAAAGGACAGGAATGCTGAGTTCCACAAAAGCATGCATCTCTTGCTAGTAGGTGAGGCGAGTCTCTAACTGATTGCAGCCTCTTCTGTTTTCCAGGTCAAGTACTTGCTGCTGTTGATATTGGGACTTGCCTTTCTGAATGAGGTGGCAGCTAGGAAAATCCCCAAAGTAGGACATACTTTTTTCCAAAAGCCTGAGAGTTGCCCACCTGTGCCAGAAGGTAGTATGAAGCTTGACACTGGCATCATCAATGAAAACCAGCGTGTTTCCATGTCACGTAACATCGAGAGCCGCTCCACCTCCCCCTGGAATTACACGTAAGTGCAAATGAGACTGATCTTCACATTCTTTGGAAAAATATGTTAATTCTTTCTTATCATAAAGTAGAAAATGTAGAATACGTAGAAAACATACAAGGGAAAATCCTCTTAACAATGAAAATTTCATTTTACCTGGGAGCTCACATCTTTCTTGTTTTGGGCTAGGTTCACCTTTGTGGTTGATGGTCCTAATATTTTGCTTCCACATTCTCATAAACTCTGTGCCTTTTTCTGCTTCGTGTAGCTCTAGGACAGAATTCACAAATTTTCCTGTGTTGGAAGAGAGGGTTCTTTAAAGCAGATTGCATAATTATCTCCGCATGAGGATAAATGGGAAACAGAAAAGTCGGTTCAAGGAGATCCACTCAGATTAGACATTATCCTTTAAGAAGTGGGAATGAGTGGAGGAGAAAGGCCAGTCTGGGAAATGGGATGTTAGGTGGAGACCTTCAGGGTACAGTTTTGTAATTTGGCCTTAAGATACAGGTTTTTGGAACACCAAGCACCCCCTCCTACTCTCCAAATGTAAGTATAAAAATAGATTCCAGGGACAATTGAAGTGTTTCTGGGGTTGTCATGTAGCTTCTCATGTGAGTGTGTTATGAGAAAACCTTGGGACTGTAGTGCCCCCTGCCTCAAACTGGGAAGATGTGGAGAGACCAAAGAATGACTTGGACAAGTCCAGCTTAGCGAGTAGATGAGTTTATTAAGACTTACATATGGGGCGCCCTAGGGCCACAGCAGGACAGATCTAGAGATCCGCCCTGCCTCCCATCTCTAAGCTGCTCATAAGCAAATTTTCTGGCTCTTTGCCTACTGTGTGTGTCCAATGGGACTGTTTCCCTTGGTAGGTTCTCAGATACTCTCTGAGATATTTGGGTTCTCAGTGGCCTGCTCCTTGGCTGTGCTGGTGGCCCTGGCTCACTGCCCATCCTTCATGGTTCAGACAGTGGATACACACCCTCAAGTAACTTGGTGGGAGTCCTGTCACACTACAAGTGGAGTATGTACAGTGGCAAGCTGGCAGGATAAATGTTGCGGTCTTTATGCCTCTAGGCAGAGGGGCCTATTAAAGGAGAAATGGAGAGAAGGTCTGAGATTCACAGACCTCTGGGACTGTGGCTTTCCTTTCCAAGCAACAGGCTCTGTAGTCCGACTAGTGATGGAAGACTGACTAGTGACGTTCAATCTCCAGGCAGAGAATAAAGAATAATTGTAATAATAATAATGCCAATAAGAGATCTAATGTGAATTGAATGCTATCATTTGTACAGTGGGGTATTTTATATGTACTTGTATCACTGAGCATTCTCAACAGTTGCATGAGAAAATGGAATATGAAAATCCCCATCTTATAATTGAGGAAACTGAGGCTTAGAAAGGTAAGTCACTGCCAGAGGCTGGTGTATGCTTCCAGGCTGTGTGGCTCCGGAGCCTGTGCCACAGCCCTGCGGAACTACCTCCCTGCAGGTGAGCACCCAGTGCTGTGGGGCTCTCATTCGCTGTCTTCCTCCCCCATGCCTCACCATGGTGCTTTGGCTTGCTCCTCCTGCAGTGTCACTTGGGACCCCAACCGGTATCCCTCGGAAGTTGTACAGGCCCAGTGTAAGCACTTGGGCTGCATCAATGCTCAAGGAAAGGAAGACATCTCCATGAATTCCGTTCCCATCCAGCAAGAGACCCTGGTCCTCCGGAGGAAGCACCAAGGCTGCTCTGTTTCTTTCCAGTTGGAGAAGGTGCTGGTGACTGTTGGCTGCACCTGCGTCACCCCCGTCGTCCACCATGTGCAGTAAGAGTTGTACATCCACTCAGCTGAAGAAGCTGTAGAAATGTCACTCCTTATCCAGTGCTCTGCAACAAGTCCTGTCTGATCCCCAATTCCCTCCACTTCACAGGACTCTTAATAAGACCTGCATGGATGGAAACAGAAAATATTCACAATGTATGTGTGTATGTACTAAATTTTATATTTGATATCTAAAATGTTAGGAGAAAAATTAATATATTCAGTGCTAATGTAATAAAGTATTAATAATTGAAAAATACTTCAGGTGTCTGTTTGCAATTCCAGCTTGTACTCACGGACTGTGTAGCCCTACAGATTTTGGAATTCTATATGCCTATCATTTGTTTTTCATATTTCCTTATCAGAGCACCAGTGTTAGAGTTGTTTTGTTATTAATGGTGCCTGGAGATTGGTTACATAAAGAGTTAAGGAAAATGGTACAAACAGAACTCAGGTTCCCTAGGGACACTTTACTGCTTCGTTATCCCAACTACATTATTTTACAAAGCAAGTATTTCTTGGCCACTGTGCTAGCCAGTGGAGATACAAAGAAAAGTAAGAAATGCATATGAAGGGCCATGTGTTGATAGAGGCCATCCAAAGAGCCCCTGGTCATGAGGGCCATGGTGGCCACTTTGTTTCCTCCTCTGACTTCTGGGCCCTTTAGGGGTCACTGGTTATCTTTTGTCCATCTCTTACACATCTTAGAGGCACACAAACTTCCAGATTCTGATCTCCATGCCACTCTGAGGAAACTGAGAGGTCTTCTGGTGCCTCTGTTGCACACCACATTTTCTCCTTTACTTCCACCATGCCACTAGCTCAGAGTACATCTGCATGGCTGCTGCCTCCCAGGTTCCAGAGAGAAAGTGGGCTTAAGTTCTCACTCCCACCTAGGACTTGGCTTGAGGATGGACAGTCGGCAGGAGCCTGGCTCCCATTTTGAACTCTTCAGTCTGTTGGTGGGTGTGGAATGGGAGTGGTTGGAGAGGCTAACTCTTTCATCTCTTTGCTCCAGAATCTTGTACTTAGGATATAAATATTGACTTTTGTACTTAAAATGTTCAAATGTTCAGGTTCTTTTTTTTTTTTTGAGACGGAGTCTAGCTTTGTTGCCCAGGCTGGAGTGCGGTGGCGCGATCTCGGCTCACTGCAAGCTCCGCCTCCCGGGTTCATACCATTCTCCTGCCTCAGCCTCCCGAGCAGCTGGGACTACAGGCGCCCGCCACCACGCCCAGCTAATTTTTTGTATTTTTAGTAGAGATGGGGTTTCACCGTGCTAGCCAGGATGGTCTCGATCTCCTGACCTCGTGATCTGCCTGTCTCGGCCTCCCAAAGTGCTGGGATTACAGGCGTGAGCCACCGCGCCCGGCTTGTTCAGGTTCTTAAAATGTAAAATACCTTCCTCTCATAGCTATCAGCTTCACAATTTTACTCTAAATCTCACAAGTTCATTGTGATGCTCAAATCTGTGTGAAGAAAGTTTTCTCTGTTCATTTTGGCAGTAATAGCTGTACCCTAGGCGTAGTGCATATAAAAAACCCTCTGTCTGAGTAGTGGGGGAAGTATAAAGGAAATTTCAGGGGGAAAAGAATTGCACCACTGGGTGTATCAAGATACCATCTCAGCCCAGTGTGGTGGCTCATGCCTGTAATTCCAACACTTTGGGAGGCCAAGACGGGAGGATTGCTTGAGACCAGGAGTTCAAGACCAGTCTAATCAACACAGACCCCATCTCTCTCTCTCTCTCCACATACACACACACACACACACACACACATACACACATACACACACAATTAGCCAGGCATGGTGGCACACACCTGTAGTCCTAGCTACTTGGGAGACAGATGGGAGGATCGCTTGAGCTAGAAGTTGGAGGCTGCAGTGAGCTATGATATCATCATTGCACTCCAGCCTGGGTGACAGTAAGACTTTGCCTCAAAAAAACCCAAAACCAAAAACATTATATCATATTTCATTACACATGTACCCATGTACTTTCAAGGCAGTGTGCCAAATACTATAATCAAGGTATGAAATGGTAGGAAAATATAGGAAATTCCTGGAAAGTTTCAGACACAAGATGACTTTTGCACTGAGATGAATATGAATCAGTTTGGAGGAAGATGTGGGAAAGGCATTCCAAGCAAATGTAACAGCATGAGCAAAGGCAAGAGATGCAAAAAAAACCTGGTATACTGGGGGACTGAAAGTAGTTCTATGTGCTCGGGATACTGTGGACATGGGGACATGGTGGGGAACACATAACAAATGTTTCTTTAATGAATAAATGAATGAATTCACTTGGTAGTAGACAACAAACAGTGGGCAAATGGGCCACTCATGGATGGTTTTGTAAGCTCTGTTTCAGGAACGACAGGAGGATAGCTATATTTCACAAGATAGCTTTGGTGATAGAGTGCAAAATGGATCAGAAACCTGAAGGCCAGTGAGAAGATCAGAGAGAAAGCAACTTCACTCTGACAGTACACTCACAGTTTTAGAGCTGGATGAGCCCCTATAGATCACCTGGTCAACCCTTCTCATTTGCAAATGTGGCCCACAGGAATTAGGCGACTTGCTCAAGGTCACTTGGTAAGTAGTAGCAGAAACAGGTTCATTGACTCTAAGTTCATGACTTTTGATATGGGTTTTGCAGCAACGCTGTAGGGTGTCCAATAAAGATCCATTTCAGTCATTCCTCTATGTGGCCTCAGGCTGGCCCTGAGAGAGACTATGTGGTGCTCTGAAGCCTGGGGCCTTGAGTCACAAAGCTTCCTTCTGTGGCTTCTGCACTGAGGGTTGGCTGTCCTTCAGGAAACTGCATGTCCTCTCCTGCTCACAAGGTGGCGAACTGTGTCCAGTTGTTCCCAGATTCCTCAGCATACACTGAAAGGAAAGAAATTACTGCTTTATGGGTAATTTGTTTTATTTGGTGACTGGAAGCCACTTCTGAGGCAGAGTGAGTAGGCTGTGTTCTTCCGCTCTGCGCTCAGGTTTCTGGGAGTGCCTTTGTTTTTCCTGTAGGAGAAATGGCTGCAGTTGAGCAGTTTAGGTGTTCAAATACAACATTGCATCATAATGTGTGGAGACAGAAACCTTTGTTTCCACATGGAAACTTGAAAGCATATAGTCTTTTCTTTCCATATCCAGTTCTTTTTGATGAATGGTTGGCTAAGGGGAAAAAAACCAACATATTCTTTCTCTGTCTCTGTTTCTGTCTTCTTTTCCCATTCCCTACCTCCCCAAATTTGGATAAAAGTCACCTATATATATAAAGCTCTGTGTGATAAATTTTACTTGTTTTTTTTTTTTTTTTTTTTTTTTTTTTTTTTTTTTTTTTTGAGACGGAGTCTCGCTCTGTCACCCAGGCTGGAGTGCAGTGGCCGGATCTCAGCTCACTGCAAGCTCCGCCTCCCGGGTTCACGCCATTCTCCTGCCTCAGCCTCCCAAGTAGCTGGGACTACAGGCGCCTGCCACCTCGCCCGGCTAAGTTTTTGTATTTTTAGTAGAGACGGGGTTTCACTGTGTTAGCCAGGATGGTCTCGATCTCCTGACCTCGTGATCCGCCCGTCTCGGCCTCCCAAAGTGCTGGGATTACAGGCTTGAGCCACCGCGCCCGGCCGATAAATTTTACTTGTAATTTACAGTGAGAAAAATAGAAAGTTGGTTTTTCTTCTCCGACTCCCTTCCATAAAAGGAGAGGTAGAAAATATGCATTTAATATGTAGACAGCTCTTGGCTTTGAATCCTGGTTCTACCACTTTCTCAGAAGGACACAATTTTGTCCTTCTGAGATTCAGCTTTTCATACATTAAATGCAATATAATATCTATTTTAAGAGCTCTGTGTAAAGTAATTGAAATTTAAAAAAATGTAAATTACTCAGTACAGTAACCAGGTAATGGTAGGCTTGGTAACTAGGAGTCATTATTTCAAGAGGCACAGGAGGACTTAGGTTTCCCATTTTGCTTGGCCCAAAGAAACTCAGAACCCACTTCTATGTTTAAATACCACAGTTTGCTGGCAGATTAGACATTCGTAAAAGAAAAAAAAAATACCACAGTTATATTGTTCCTCATGGTTTTCAAATTTGCTTTAATTTCTATACATATATTAATATAGTATAGTATATATAGTACAAGTATATATTAGTATATAGATCCTATGTTTAAATCAATTTTCCATCTGTGAAAAGTTAAGAAAGCTATAGATTCAATTCATTAAAAAAATTCCCCCTGGACCCAAATGTCTATCGCATCCCTCTCCACTGGTATAAATTGGAAGAAAAATATTTTTAGCTTAGTAAGTTTTAGGAGTGATACATGTTCAGCTAGGTAAGTGTGTGCTTTGAAAATTGTGACCTTTTCCTGGCTACTTGCCAGTTCAGTGGGTACTGATTTTGAGAATTTTGTTTAGTAGTGAAGAAGAACATATTTCAAAACTAAGATAAAAAATGATCACTATTTGAGCATCAAGATGTTCTTGCCAGCAAAATGTTGATTTCTTCTCTTAAATGGTACAGACACCACGGCAATATCAGAGAGCACAGCATAATGACTAAGTGTGTGGACACTGGAGCCAGATGCCGGGTTAAAATGTCAGTTCTGGACCTTACTAGCTGTACTAGTTGCTAAAGATTTGGGTCATGTCACCTAGCCTCTCTGTGTCTCTTTTTCCTCAAATGTAAAACAGAGATGATAATAGTGCCTACTTCATAAAGTTATTGAGAGGATAGAATAATAATCTGTAAGGTAATTGGAATAGTTCTTGGCATGGTAGGCGTATTGTTTAGTGTATTATTAAGAAAGATAAAATCTATCTATTACTCTACCACAATAATAGATCACGTTAATATTTTTCTTTCTCTTCTGCTCATTTGCCTCACAGATATATATTTTATAAGGCTGTAACTGTAACATGCATGCAATTTGTATTTGGTAATTTTTAACTTCACATTATACTCTATATATTTCCAATGTTTCCATAAAGTATTCACAATGATTTTTAGTAGCTGTGTAATTCTTTCAAGTTGATGAACCAGAGTTTATTTAGTTACTTTTTTATTTTTGGAGTTTTTGCTCCAAATATAAAAAAATAACTATTAACTTAAAAAGTTAAATAATGCTTGTAACTGTTTTAATTACTTTTTAAAATTATGAACTATGTAATACAAACAGAAGAGTTTATGTCTTTGTATATGGATAGTTGCCTTGCATATCAAAATTCTGTGTGTGTGTGTGTGTTT